CTTTGGGCCTGGAGGATCGCCCCCTTAAGGTACGACCATCCCTTGTGGACTCCCATCTTCTCTACCTTCTGGGCCCTCAGTGCCTCCCCCACTAATCTCTGAAGCTCATTGATGTTGGCCCTTCTGAAGTCAAGGGCTTTAATCTTGCTGTAAGCCCTTGACACCCTGCACTGGATAGTGAATTCCAGCAGGTGATGATTGCTATTGCCTTGGTGGTCAAGGATCTGCAGTCCCCTCACCAGGTCATTCCCAGTGGCCAGGACCAGGTCCAGCAAGGCATTACCCCTAGTGGGGCTGTGCACTTCCTGGATAAGGTGAAGGTCCTGTAATACAGCTAGGAACCTACACGAGCGGTCAGACCTGGCTGTCTGCTCCTCCCAGCAAATGTCTGGGTAGTTTAGGTCACCCATAACAATAACATCCCTTGTCCCAAGCTTGTCTCCAGGGGAGGATTCAGTCTTCTGCAACTACCTGGTGATTTATATACATTGATTGCAAGGTTCCAAAATCATTACCTTCGAACAGGCATATTCAGTTTAGAAGCTAGGAATAGCCACGTGCAGTGTTATGCGCCAACTACATAGTGTTTATTATAGACATAAAGTTGCTCGTGTGACATTACCTGCTGCTTGTATTGTCCTGTGCTGCGTAATAGTGCTGTTGAGTAATCGTAGTGGCCTCTTTCAGCTGTGTTGAAGTGTTTCTGCCACTTAACTGCCTCTGGTAAATAAGGAACTGAAGCAGAGAAATGTCTTATTTTATTTTACTCTCTTCTGTGGAATAAACCATATATTTGAGAGCACATTAACAATCCTTGTTTAATAAGTTGGGCAGGCTCTGCTGGCCCAGATAAATCTGTGCTGGGAGCATTCCTTGCACGCACTTTAGACTGTACTCCTGAAGTCCTTGAATTCATTAAACCCTAATTAGCAATGATCTTTTTGATTATAAAAAAAAAAAAAGCTATAATAATAGATGGGTGAGTGTATAGTGAGCTGTAAAAGCACCTCTGGGGTTGTCCTACAATCAGCTTTTAGGAACTCAGTTTTAAAGTAATCGTGTGTGTGTGTGATCCTACATGCTCACTCCACTGCCTCATCTCTTGCTCCAGCATTTTGACATAGACATTAGATACAATAGATTTCATAGACATTAGGGCTGGGGGGGACCTAACCAGATCATCGGGTCTAGCCCCCTGCCCAAGGGGCAGGAAGTCAGCTGGGGTCAGATGACCCCAGCAAGGTAAGCATCCAAATGCAACTTGAACATGTCCAGACATCACAGCTCTCAGAGCAGCGGTGTGATCATTCTGTATGGGCTGCCCCTGTATACATTGAAACTTCAAGTGCTCCTCAAGGAGGAGTGAAGTGGAGAAATAGGATGAGGCTGCAAAGTTAGGATCCAGATGCAGACTTCTCCAAAGCTTGGGTGCTTGAGGCAGGGCAGTCATTTCCATCTGTCTGCCTTGGAAAATGTGTATCAAAACAAAATCGGCTTTTTGAAGGCCCCCGGATGCGTAATAGAGCAGAGGTGAGCAGGCTTCAAATTGAACATCACCATACTTTTGAAAGTGATTTCCTCCTTTGCTTTTAAACTTCTAGCACTCAAATTAATGGACTGTTCTTTCTGCAGCAGTACAACTAAACAGCCAAGTGGGATGCTTTTGTCCAAAAGCCAGCACCATAGAACCTCTGTTACAGTTTGGACCTCTGAGAACTGTAATATAAACAGCAGCTTCAGTGTTTGTGATTGCATCAGTTTTTGGAGGACTTAGCAGGCAGCATTCAAATATTTTCCTCTGCATCGATGTTTTAAGCAGAGGAAGTCCATTCATTTGATAGACATTTTCATTCATTTACAGATGGTCTCCATTTCACCTTAAGGGCCAGATTTTTCAGAAATGTATCCAAACAGCTACACAATCAGTAAAAGTAATGAGACCTGATTTGCCTCACTTTGAAAGTGGTTGGACAATGGTTGGACATGCAGACAGTCATTTGCACCCATTGCAAATCTCAGTTGTTTGCACAACTCCAATAATTTCTGCTCCCACTTTTCTGTAGGTAGCAAAATTGTTGGTAGAAGTGTTTGGGGGGTGGGGAGGGGAAATGACATGGTTGTGGAAAAGCAAATCGCATCTTTCAAGGGGCTAATGTGTCTTGGAAAATTAATACCATCCTGCCTTCCCTCTAACTTTCAAGGAGAGAATTTTAACTAGGTGCACATGTTCATAAATGCTTACTTTTCGTAACATGCACAAATCCAGGGGAAAAGCTGTGAGATCAGAAAGTGGTCTTGATGTATGTGCGTACTGGTTAATGTTTATACCCATGTTCTTGCCTTTCTAGGACACTCCTGCAGCAGTTGCAGAGACTTCAAGCCATGGTTGCTGGCAAAGTGTCTCGATCTTGTAAAGTAGCCAGCACACAGACGGGGACCTGTCTCATGGTGAGTGACTCAAAATTGGTGACCACAAGACAGTAATGGTTGATTTAGCCTTTATCAGGTCCAGGTCATATCTGCATCCTGACTCTGTTAAATAATAATGCTGCAGGATTGGGGAAGTAGCAACGGGGCTCTTCTGGTAGCAGTGTCAAAGGCTGCTTATGCAGCTGTGAAATGACAATGGATGTCCTCTGTTTCTCATTGCTTCTGGGTCTAAAACCAATTACATTTTTTAAATAAAAGGGCTGTGCCTGTAAACCTGTTTCCAGCTTGTTTTTTTAACAATAATAAAGAGTAAAAAAAAAAAAAAAAAAAGTGTCAGAATGAAAGGCTTTACTTTAATGCTAGTGTTGTAGCTGGAATGGAAAATGGTAGCAAGTGTCACTGATCCTGGGGGCTGTTGCTTCTCCCTGTGTCACTTCTGAAGAAAGATTGTGCCCTACAGCATGGGTGGGTTTGGAAGTGCCAGATACAATTTACAAAGCATGATTTTTATATATGCATATCACTGTTTGTAGTGTAGTTGAGTCATGTTTCCTAGCTTGCCAGCTTCCAGACTGTAGTCGGATGGAGCAAAATGGCAGCGCTGCAGACCTTCAAAACAGAATCTATCATGAAGTCTGTCTTGTTGGAAGTTGAATTGTTGTTGTTTGTGTATCTCTAGTAAGGCACAACATATATTGCTAAAAATAGCCTGGAAATGAGCACTTAAATGCAGCCGTTGTGTGACTTGCCATTAATCTGCACTTATCAGTGTGCCAAGAGTGAGCACACTTTCATTTCCTGTTCCCTTCCTTTTGCCAGGTGGTGGTGCTGTGTTTTGCAGTCATTTTTGGCAGCTTCTCCCAGAGTTATGGACCTTATCCCTCTGCCACAAAGATGGTGCTGCCAAGCCAGCATTCCACTCCAGAGTCGTACACAGCCTCCATTGGTAAGTGCCAGACCCAATCAAGACTGTAATTTTCTTTTATCCCTTACCCACACCGTGCCTTCAACAGCCCCTCTGCCACTGTCAGTCCCTGTTACTCTTCTGCTCTCCAGCCAATAGTTGTTCAGTAACACTGGTAAATTTGTTGCATAGTTATCCTATCCAAGCCTTTTGGTCTACCTTCATCCATTATCTGGAAAAAGGTCATCATTGACCATCAAGAAATGTTGCTGTCTCACTCCCTGTCCCACTCCTTTTGAGGATGACAACCAGGGGCTCCTACATACAGTGTTTTTCTTTCACTTGAGAGTGCATAAAATGCTAAAGTTTGGCCTGTAGTTTTTGTGAAGGGTTCATGGCTTTTCACTTGTAGAAACACAAGCATATAGAGGAGGCTGGAAAATTACCGTAGTTGGGGAAACATCTATTTGGTAAAGTCACAGCAGCACAGTGCTCTTTGTGTACTGATTTACCCTGCCAGATAGCAAATAAATCAGCCACAGTGGCTTTCCTTCCTCCAGCAGCTAGATAGCTTCTGGTATCCATGCTAGTTTATTGTAAAATTAAGCTGGGTATCCTCATACTACCCTGCAGACTGCAGTAACGCACTTTGGATAAGTATGCTAATGGTCAAGTACATTGTGAAGACACTAGGGTAGGCCATAGGTCCCCAGCCTACTTAACAGTTCCATTTGAGGACGATCTTTTCAACATTTACACTTTTATTTATTTATCTATTTATTTACAGAGAAGATCAGCCTCAGTTTAGTTGCACAGGAGCGAGTATTTACTCTGTAAAAAGAAAAACAAAAAAACAAAAAAAACCCCTCCCTGCCAGCATAACTGATACCAGTTGGCATCTCTGGAAGTGTCAACAGAGAGGCCTAGGAGCAAGTACGATTATGCGTTAGCTGTTTGATGCATGTTTTTAAAATAGCCTGTTGCTCTAAGCAGGATGGTATCCAAGCCTTCACCCCTAGAAGTGGTCCCTCTAGTTCAAGAGCATTGACTGGACTTGTGGAAAAAGCCCCTTGTCCTGGGGATACCTCAAGGATTTCTCTTCTCTAGGGTGGCAAGTACTCCAGGTTGCCAAGGGGGGTGACATTCAGTTAAGCTAGTTCCATGCTCTCTCTATTTAGGTTGTCTTTTAATTCCTGAAGTGTCCAGTGCCCTTGTGTCCAGGTTGATCTGTGTCTTATTCTGCTTCTGCCTCTCTCCATGTATTTGCAGTACGATCAAGGAGTCTGCTAATTTACGAAGAGCCCCACCAGTTGGAGGAGCATTCCAATCCGGTTCCTGCAGCAGATCACAGCAGTGTCTGGGACAGGCACACAGATGCTTCCAAGTACACGGCAGTGTCACTGGAATCGGTGCCAGGGACACAGCAAGATGAAATCATGCAGTTCACAATAGCCAATGAAACGAGATTAGAGAAATCAGTGCTGCTGGAGCTTCAGCAGCACAGGTGAGTACAGAGACAGGCCATAGATTTCTGGACCATTATTATTTCTAATACAGCAGAGCATTGGGTCTCCTGTCACGATCTGTCCCCCCTTTTTTGGGCTCTGTACATGACATGTCTCTGCCATGAAGACCTTAAGACAAAAGTAGGAGGGGAAAAGACCTGGAGAGTTGAAGCACTTTGCGCAAGGTTGCATAGTGCTTCAGTGACAGAGCAAGGAATACAGCCTAGGGTATTCCCTGCTCTCTTGACTGCTGATTCTGTGTACTGTTACGTGGGCCACATGCTGAAGAAGCAATTAGCTGTGGGATTCCTGTGAAGCTGGATGTTGGCTCATTTGCTGTGTACCCACTAAAGGTTGCTCACTTTCTCAAGACAGTGGAGGTAGCATACTGCTGTTCTGTCTGTATTGTTGCTAAGAGCTCCCTACTGGATGTTTTAGCAATGATGCTGGTGTCATAATGGTGTAGCACCTCACAGAACATTGTATGGCCTGCCTGTTTGCATCTCTGTGTGGGTGCACATGTATATTCACACACAAGTGGAAGCATACAAATGCTACTGGCTTTTCAGGGATAACAACTGCAAAACAGTACCTAGGTGGGATGCATGCATTGCCTGATTGCTGAAACCTGAAGCAAATATGCATCATCAAGAAGCTATTTTTATTGAAGGGTGGGGTTTTTTTTGCTTATTCTCCCAGCCAGCCAGCATATGCTTTATAGTCCCCTTTAGTTTGCACTTTAGCTGCTGGAGAAGTCTGAGGTCAAGTCCATCTCTGGGGTGGGGAGTAGAGAATTTGTCACAGGTGTGAATAACTGAGGTATAATGTCCTTTTCTCTACTGTATCTCTGAATTTCCTGCCACGATCCTGCTGTTTGAGACCAGGTCCTATGCTACGGCACTTCCTATTCTGTCAAATGAAATGGAAATGTGCTGCTTTTTATTTGGTTGTATGCCCTCTCAAGGACTAGTCTGAGATGCTACCTGTACCCAACATCACTCTGGCTTAAGCCAAAATTTAAATCAACGATTGAAGAAGTGACTAATTCAGTGTTACTGAGCTTCAAGCGACAAGTGCCTGGTAAATAGCAGGCAGCTTATTAGCATTGACCAGTTTTAGCAGGATGTATGCTGCTTTTTTATGCTTGCTTACTGATACATTTTTATTTTTTCTTCCCGCAGGGTTAGTTCAGAACTTGAGGCAAATGAAACACTGAAAATAATTGAAATTGACAGAAGAGTCAATGCCACCTCTTAAAAGAGGCCTTTTTTCCTGCTTCCTGCCCCATCTTTCCAACCAAAGTACCCCAACTTGTCACCCTCAGTGAACCAAAGGGCAAAAGAGAGGCAGTCTGCTGACTTCTGAACTGGCTGGAGATGCTGCAACTTCAGTCAGCAACCATTGTCCTTATTCCTCCACTTCTCCCCTCCCTTTTCCTCCCCAACACCACACACACATCTGTTTTTGCTTTTATTCCTCTCCCTGACTAAGAACGCAAGGGGAAGGACTGGATTGTAAGGGCAGCTGGTGTCAACAATGTACAGGTGTTTGGTTTGTGTGTGCGCTAGTCAAGAGGGTGGAGATATTGAATAGGGGAGTAGAACAAATGTAACCCACAGGGACGTGTGCATGGTAGGTCACTTGGGAGAAGGAAGATGAGAGAAATAAGTGGGCATAAGATGACACTGCTCCGAATTTGGCTGCAGCTCTGTGCCCACCAGTCAGTAGCACTTGAGCTTTATGGGGGAGAAGGAGTAGAGAGATGCCACAGTCCCCATCTGAAGGCAGGAAATATTGATGCTTTTGACTTAACAGCACAGACAGGAAAAGCTGGTATGTTGGCCATGAGGATTTCCCTGCCTCTTTTCCTGTTCTCCGTCTCCCCTGTATCACTTGGTGGATAAGGTTTCTCTACTGGTGCCATCCTTTTGAAGGATCCAAGTAAAGATCAGTTAGTTAGTTCCTGTACCTTTTCTGCCCCTGACTACATGAAAGAATTGCACCACTTTAACACAGTTGTTTGAGAAAGTGATCTGTGCAACCCCTTCATGTGGATGCTTTTAAGTCTGTTTAAGACTAGCATATTTTTATCAGTTTGCCTCACTTGATGGAAGCTGAATCGCTGTGAGGCTCTCTTAAAATGAGACATGATGGAATTGCAAAGATTTAAGTAAATTGTTTTTTAAATGCATTAAGATGTACCAATTACACTTTCTCATGTAGGCGAAGCCTCAAATTGCTCCATATTCTTCCTTTTTCCCTATTTTCCCAGTACTGTTGTAAATAGTATTTATTAGCTTTCCAACACTTTCTCTGGCAGCCAGGCTGAAGAGAGCCAAGCTCCACAACCTCTATGAATGCCTTTGAACATAAGAATGCAAAATTACTGCTGTTGTAGTTTTCTTGAAATAATGATTAGGAAGTACTGAGACTCTATTTTCCCTCCTTCCCTTCTGTGGGGGTGCATGGACATACAGCAGCCAGGTAGAGCAAAGACCAGGGTTATGTCATCCCAATGCAATAGAATTTGGGTCAGAACAGGCCTATTATGCTAGGCACAGTACAACCCATAATGTGAGACAGACCTTGTCCTGAGGAGCTTAGTCTATGTAGACAAGACAGGGAAAGGAGAGGGCAGAAATGGAGGGGAAGTGATTGGCCCAAAGTCAGTGGCAGCTGCAGCGATAGCAGTCAAATCTCCTGACTCCCAATCTCGTGCCTCTCCACTCGACTGTCTTGATTCTAAAGCACCTATATTGTTCCCTTTAACATGCACTGCCTAGACTGGTCAATCCTCTCTCAATGCTAGTTTTGCTTTTGTTTGGGGTTCCCTTTTCACTCTCATTCATCCTTTCAGAAAGAGCCAGCTCTCCCAGTGATTGCTGCTGGGGTTTACTTTACACAGACATGCTAAGTGTGGTGGGTTTGATCTAAAACTCCGAATGGAACAGGTTATTTTGGCTACTTTGCAGTTGACCAACAAGATATAACTAAAAACATTAAAAACAAAACTACCCCCCCCACCCTTTTCCAGTATGAATAAGGGAAACCTAGTTTAGCTTTATTTTTTTAATGTGTAAAGTAAATATTTCTAATTTGTAAAATTTTTTCAGACCCCTCCGCCTTGTTTTTGTATTATAGCTGCAATTCTGCCTCCTTTGCATTTCTTAGGTATTTGTCCTCTCTTTGCTATCGCACCTTTTCCCCGTGGGCCTGATCCAAAGCCCATTAAAGTTAAAGGAAAGAATCCTGTTGACTTAGGCTCCATCTCAGTCCCCACTGTGCCATGTTCAGACATGTTTCAAATGGGTGAGTATGGAACATACATCCTAGTTCCGTTGCTAGATATTGGGATTTGTGTATGCAGTTGATGCATACAGCTTTCTCAGTTAAACCCCAGTTTTATCTGTACAGGTGCCTTTCTTCACTTTGGTGTTAACGAGACACACATACTGTTGTAATCAACTACTAAGTAGGTTCCTTCTGGTCATTGTTGGTCAGTGTTGCTTCTGAGGCATATCTACTCTTTATTAAGGGCTGGCTGGGACAGCTATGATCATTCAGTTGGGCTTTCTAGGCAGGTCTAATATCCACAAGCAACCAATGCACAGCTGCCCTTTCTGGAACTGTGGTTTAAGGTACCAGCATTAAAAGGAGAGAAGAAATAGTAGTGTAAGTGGGGGCATGAATGAGACCCAAATGGTGGCTGCATTTTGACCACCTGAGGTCAGCAAAGTGAAGGAAAAAAACCTTTGTCAGAGACTGACTGCATTGGATGTAGGACACCCAAGGACAACTGGGAAGGCATGAGTCAGTCATTTGAGAATTCACAGAGGATCTGGTTTCCAGAGCCCTGTTCCTGCCCCAGCTCTGCTTGGCTTTGAGTGAAAATATGACTGCTTAGTGTTTTGGCAAACTGGGCCCTAAATTCTTGATTGTTTTTGGGATTATTTTACAAATCTGTTTCTCTTGTGAAATGTGGAGCAGCAGGTGGAGGCTGATTTGTCTAATCTCTCTTGTGCCCATTACTTTACTTAATGAACAAGTTAGCTGCCATTAAAGGGATGCTGCTAACAGTTTATCTATCTATCTATCTAAATTCATTCTTATTTTTAAAAACACTTATGACTATTAAGACAATTTCACAAAAACTTGTGTTCTAATCATCATTAAAGCTGTTTGTTTCCTCTTTGCAATTCTCTCAGATTGGGCATACTAATCTAATTTTGAGGGGTGTGACATCTTTATTTGATATTGGCCTCTGTCTGAGTCGGGCTACAGGATTAGATTGCCTGATCTATCAGGGAAGTGCTTGCATTCCTATGATAAAGTAGCAGTTCTCTTCCCATACCCTCTGCACCTCAGCCTTGCCTACTGTAAAGTCCCATGCCCCAAACATGCCCCTCTTCCCCAGAGACAGTTGAAGCCATACCCTGTATCCAGCATGGGGACAAAAGTGAGAAAACGCATTCCACAGCTTTGTTGTTGGCTCAACAATTCATGAGTGACCTCTATCTGAATTCTGGTTCAGTGTAACAGCACATTAATAGGAATTCTTTACACGTTGGGTTTGGTATGCAGTAAGCAGGAAGATCCAGGATGCAGGTAGCTTTAAGAACTTGGCTGTATTACATGCTATCTTATCTCTCTGCCAATATACATTATAGCAATTGATAGTCTTTTGGGTGAAATCTATTCCCCCTCCCCCCCTACCCACCCCTGCACAAGATGAGCTGAAGTCTTATTTATACAGCACTTAAATCTCTACAGACTGTTTAAGTTTCTATGGAATGCTTAAGTTTTGCTTCAACCCAGAGGACTGAAGTGGTCCCCACTGGCTTACGCTGTTTTATATAGTCCTTGTGCTGACTCAAAGCTGGCTACATGGAACCTCTGTATTAAACCAGATTTTTATATACCAATAAACTTAGCTTTTCTCTTATTGCTTTCAAATGTTTCCAGAGCTGTCACATCTTTAAATCTAGGTAGTCAAGCTATGAAGGAATGTAGGGCATTACTATATATATAAAATGGAAATAAGCACAATAATGGAAATAAGCACAAAGCATGTGACTGTTCCAATCCTATTACTATTATGTAGATAGTAGGAGGTTTTTTGCTATTTATAGTTCTCTGCTATAAGATTTACTTTTACCCATATTTTTTTATCATACAGGCTATGCTAAGATTTGAATATGCTAAGATTTTACATGGTATCAGGTAGTATAGCATAGCTTTTGTGTACATCATTGACATATGGCTCTGATTTGCTGATGCTGAGTGTCTGGGCCTGTAACTTTTATCGGCACAAATTATTAGCATACTACAAGCCTTTTCTTAATTTTTCTATTATAAAGCTGGGATTCATTTAAGATTAAAATTTACTTCTTCCTCCTCAGCCCTTCCTTTTTATGATAACTCATAAAAACTGACTTTTTAGCCATGGACATTGTCTAGACACATTTAGAATGTAGGTCAAGAAAATGAGTAATATTAATTTTGCCACATCAAGAGGGATCTCCACAGAGTATTTGGGCTCCAGATTCTAGCTAGTGCCAAGAGGCCATAATACATAACCTGTGCATTTATGGACAGAAGTATATTTAGTATTTTTACACTTTGTGACTTAAACGTTTCATTCTCAAGCCATTAATTGGAAAGGGAATGTTTTGACTTTTGAAGGGGAAGTGGTAGGTCAGTGCTTTTACTGAAAGAAGACTGTATATTTCAGAGGTGCTACTTTGTATTTGTTTAATTAGAATGTCACTTCCATAGAATTTTAGCTTTGTGTTGAAGTCCATTTACTATCCAGATGTTGAGGACAGATGACTATTAGGATTGTAGGGATACACTGGCCACACACAGTTGTATGTCTGTACATTGATCAGTACTACATAAGGATTCAGTCAGTGGACCAAAATAACACAGTTTTCTAACTACTGATAAAAACTAAAATCCAACAGATACACAATGGCCATTCAGACTGAGATTGTGGATGAGATCAGGGTTAACGTTTCCTTGATTTAGTGAAAATTCCAGAAGTATAAGAGCATTTTTCTCTCTGTATGGATATCACATGGAACCTGCATAGTTTTACTAAGGTACAGACCTGGTTTTGCTTTCTGTATTCTAAGAGTGCCTTGGTTCTTGCAAGAAATGCTAATCTGAGATTAAAATGGTGCTTGGGTTTTGTCTTAAATTACTGCCACCAGTCTCTTCTCTGGCCTTTAGTACCCTTCTTGAAACCTGTCCCTTGTTGCATACAGGGATGGAGCCGAGGGAATGTTGGATTTTCAAAATCACCTTGGATTGGGGTGGAAGGGTAGACAGCTGGAGTGACTCCAGTATCATAGAGAAATTTTCATTCCTCAGTTCTTCAAGCAATGAAAAAAAATCTGTGTAGGTCATCGCCTCCTTTCCCACCCCTCTGCTTCCTAATCTTACCTTTTTTGCCTTCCCCATCCTGTTTATGGAGAGCAGTAGATATGATTATTTCATCTTGCTCCATTTTTCCCCATACTACATGGGTCTAACAGTTCTTTTGATCTTTAATAGCTCAGATCTGCAGGGTAAAGTGCGGTGGAGAAAATAAGATGGGGAAGGGGAGCAAAAATGAGGGAGTTGCAATTAAAAATTCTGCTTAAAAATGTCTGGCCTCTGACTTGGACCATATTGGATTCTGTTAGTGATGCTGAAGTAACAGACTCTTGTTTCCTTAGCCTTTATACTTCCCAATTCTGTGCATATTATAAGTGATGTAAAAACTCTTTTAGGGGGTTGTTTTCTTTATATATTAAGCAGGGCTGAATTAAGGGGTAGCTGGTGCACATTCCATTGAGTTCAACAGAAAATTCCTAAATTTCTGTCTGAGACCCATTCAAGTTCACTATTACAGTTTATATCAGCATTGTTCTCATTATCATAGCAATGCCTATCATATGTCTGAAACATGTCTTATCAACACCTGTAGAGTTTAGCTAAGGACAGACGTTAAGAAGCCTGAGCCTGAATTGATTCAGTCTTTGCAGGTTAGTCTAACCTGGCTAGGCTGAACTGGTTTGTAACTGGACAGACATTCTCTCTGGACTGAGGAAATTCAGGCACATGCCTGCAGTAGCTCAGGCTAGAAGCCGGGGGTGGGGTGGGGAGGGGGGTGCTAGAGCAGGCCTCCCTTCCCTTACACATTGCTGAGTTGAGGGGGGCATGGCCAGGCCCAGGCAGGACCTCTGATTAGGGAGGTCTGCCTGCACCATTCCAGGCTTTCCCCACCTGGCTATTCAAGGGGCAGGAGTGTTGTCAGACTTCAGCCCCTGGGTAGCACTCTGAGGCAAGGAGGGCTGTGTGCAGTGCATGAATCTGTTGATGATATGGAGCTTTTCAATCTCCCTCCCTGCTTCTTTATACTGTCTGCAGCAAACAAACAGGTGAGCAAGCCAGCAGGGGGCTGATAAGTGATTATCACCTCATCGTCAAAACAATAGCCTCTCTCCATTAGTTCAAACTCTTCTTAAACATCTTACCAGCTGACCTGTTGATTAGCTCCAAAAAGCCATAAGTGGTCACTGTTCTGTGTGCCTGTCCCAGTGAAACTGGAGAGACACAAACACACAGGCACCTCTCAGCATTAGGAAGCATATCATGTGCCTAGGGTCTGTGGGGCTGGAGTCTGTGCTGTGGGACATGGAAGGAGGGGATTCCTGATTAAGCAGTGAGCAGTGAGGGGGGAGGTAGGGCAGGGGGAAGCCAGGCAGACCCTGCTGTACCTGCAGTCTCTACCGGAGCTCCAGCCAGGGAGCAGAGGGGAGGGGCCCACCTTGCTGTGGAGCAGAGAGCCCTGAGCAGCCTAGAGAGCATGCTGGGGGTGTCTGGTTTATCTGAAACCAGCAAGGGGTTTGGGACAGACATTGCACAACCTGGTTTGAGCCAAATCAGTTAAGTTTGATACTACGTTCAACCAAGTCAAACTGGTTTTGGCCATTTTCAAAGTGGGTTATGTGCACTGAACATCTGTTCTGTTACAGGTTTAAACCAGTTTCTGATCACTTAAACTGGTTCATGTGTAATGTCTTTGTCTAGCCTTTGTCAGTGAAATGCCTGGCCCTGCTTATAGACAGCACTGGAAAGGTACAGGAAGATCTGCTTGGCTTTACCCTAGCTAGCCTGTGGGTGTCCCTTTCATTCCATAGAATTACAGCCACCAACACATTTTTTAAGGCTGTAAATTGGATAGTTTTAAGCAGTGAAGTCTGGGAATGACAGTTCAAGGAACACATTTTGTCTAGGTAGTTTAGTCCATGAGTTAGAATCCTCTTTTCTCAGAAAGAGTCACCCACTTAATCACTTGTCAGGCTCAATAAGAAATAAGTTAATAGAATTGTATTTGATCCTAATAGGGCCAGGCAGTGATGCAGTATGTTTCAAGTTGTAGGTATGTCCTAGGCTCATTGGGATTTGGTGAATTATCTGGTGTCCTTTCTCTGAAATGGAATGCGTACCTGGCTAGAGCCAGAAAATATTATCCAAACTAATGCTAGCATCACTCTCTAGGACCTGTGCCTTCGGCATGTGGTAAAATATCCCATGTGGGTATGCATACATATGTGCAGATAGTGACCAAATAAATGATTCGCAGATGCATTTTAAATAAAGTAACGGGATATTAAAATATGGCAGTTATTCTGTACGAGGCAAGAACAGAACCTACAGTGTCTTTCTCTAAACTGTATCAGTCTCTTTTTGGCTTTGGAGCCATCTACGTTCCTTTGCTAAATGTGTGTGTAACTCCATGTGTTGAATATTTCCCCCCCCCTTCAGCCCCCCCGCAAATTTCTCTACATGCACTGTTCATCAGAAGGTTTCCCTCCCTTACCCCTCTCCCCACCCCCCCTCAGGCATTTACACTGCAGATGCATCTTGGTGTAAAGAACCTGTTTACCTTTAGAATCAAGCAAACAATTATTACAATGAAAAATAGATTTTGTGCTTTCATAGACATTATATGTATGTAGTTATGTAAAACTGAAGTATGTTATGCTTCTCATTTCTTGCAAATAAATATTTTCCTTAGAAAAAATTAAAACTCCTCTTTCTGCCTCCCTATTTATTTTAATCTGGGCTCTTGTATGTTGAAAGTACAGGACCATGTGCTATACATCTGACTTTTTTTTAAACCTGATTATCTAATATGTCACAACTGAGAGAAGAGATTAAAAGCAATGGTGTGTGTGTGTGTGTGTGTGTGTGTGTGTGTTACAGGAGCTGTCTACCTCTTTTTCTACTAAGATTGATGAAACTGGAGAATCATGATGGGGGTTGAGAAGGGGTTAGTAGCATTTCATAATATTAATAACTTTGTTATGCAATATAGCTACATAAAAACTATGTTAATTTATAGAAAGGAGGTTCCAGTAATGTTTAAGGTACCTCGGCTCTGAGGGGCAAATCCTCGGCTGGTGTAAGTTGACCGCAATTTAACTGGCATGCATTCAGTTCACACTTGCTGTTGGTCTGTCCTGTTTGTTCAGTGCTTTGTGATGGTGAAGGCTTCCAATCACTGCTTATGCACTGTCTTGACATATACTGCATTAAGTGAGTAGGCGGATGAAGAAGCTCCACTTCTTGATTTAACGGAGCCATTGTAGGGCAGGGCATGTACCACATCATCCTTTTCCAAAAGAACTGAATGAAATTGCTAGTAAGTCAGTGTACATGGGTACTATCTTTGACCTTTATTCTGCTTCCAGTAGTCCTACCCAGTTCAAATTCAACCTCTCCTGACAGAGATTATATTTACAGGAATAATTGCCTTTTGGTGCTCCACTTAAAAATGTTCACTATCATTTTCAAGTTACAGCTGTCTTGTTTCTGTTCTGCAGGATATATAAGTTGTTCTTGTGTGATGGAGGGGCAAGAACATTCATTGCATATGGCCAAGTCCGTGTCCTCCATCCTCC